TGCAATGGCATTAACCTGTGGCTAAAAAGCTATGGAAACTACGACTGCTACCTCGATCCCAGACCCCACCCTGGTTGAGTTTAACTTCGTGGGCCCTTCAACCTCACATGCTGACCAGCTAGGGGCGGCCTACACTACTCAACTTTCTCCAAGGTAAAGTGGTATCTTATGTTCTAAATGTACAGCTAGGTTCCTCCCAAGTGTCGGCGTGTGCCAAGCGCTGTTCCCCACGCGGCCTGTAGCCGCTCTAGCTAGGCCAGCTAGGTCATGCCTAGGCAGGACATTTTATGCTGCCACCAGACCTATTGTCCGCTGATTAGGACGAAATTCTTATGCAGCCTTGCCCTCGCCGCTAGCTTGCCAGAATTATTGTCTGCCGGTTAAGCCCGGGAATTTTATATTTCTTAAGTATCCTCGATGCTGGTTTGCCGGAAATATTGTCCGCCGGTTAAGCCCGGATCCTTTTATGTGGCTCACCTAGCTGCTGGATTGCCAGTCATATTGTCTGCCGGTTAGGCCAAAAATTTTTTATGCAGCCTCTATCGTTTCTGGATCACCGAACTTTTGTCTGCAGGTTGAGCCCAAAAAATTTTATGCAGCAAGCCACGCTGCTAGAGTGCCAGACCTTTTGTCTGCCGGTTAAGCCCGGAAATTTTATACAGACATCCTTGCTGCTGGATTGCCAGACATATTGCCTGCCGGTTAAGCCCGGGTTTTCTGCAGACGCCCTCGCTGCGGGATTGCCAGAAATATTGTCTGCTGGTAAGGCCTGGAAAATTTTCAGCAGCCTTCCTCGCTGCTGGTTTGCGAGACTTATTCCATGCCGGTTAAGCCCGGAAAAATCTTCTGCGGCCACCCATGCTGCTGGTTTGTCAGAACTATTGTTTGCTGGTTAAGTACGGAAAATTAATGCAGCCTCCTTCGCCGCTGGATTTTTAGACTATTGTCTGCCGGTTAAGCCCGGAATTTCTCTGCAGCCTCTCTCGCTGCATGGATTGACCTCACTGCGTGTTTGCCAGACCTTGGTCTGCCGGTTAAGCCCGAAAATTTTTTATATTTTTTTTTTTATGTAGCTCTCCTAGCTGCTGGATTGCCGACCTTGGTCTGCCGGTTATGCCCAAAACAAAATTTTATGCAGTATCCCAGCGGAGATCATCGCCATAGTCTCAGTTACCAGCATTATATCTTGCTGCTATGGAAATCTCTGGACTGACGAAAAGGTCCCATTATCACCACACAAGAAATAATTATCCCTTTGAAATCCATGAGTCAAAAATTTTCATTTAACAGGGAATACGCTACGACTGCTGTCGTTACACTGATCTGCAATCAGAAAAAAGTCACAAGGCTGTTAAACGCACCACGCATACGAAGAACAACATAAGATGGAATCCGCTATATTGGGCCCTTTTCTTATATCTCTTATCATCCTTATATTTTTGGAGTTCGTGCCGTCCGGACACAAGCAGGTCACAGTCATGTTTTAACATCCTACGGGGTCGAGATTAAGCTTTTAATTCCCAGCAATACGATTAGAAGCTGTGTTTTACGCACTAAGAGGTTATTCTTTAATACATTATTATACATATTTTTCACTTCATGTTCATAAATTAAACTTTATTCGCAAAGGTAAAATAAGGTTATTTGTCGGCACGCATCGGAGGGCAACACATGATTCGAGGTAATAAACTCACTTCATATTGTCTGCAGTGGGCTCTGTTATTATTGGGCTGTTTTGGTCTCAGTTATCACACTTATAAATTCAGTGTTTGTATCTCTACAGTCAAAAAGTTAGGATTTTCAGAACTGTTTTCTTATATTAGATTCATCGGTTACTTATAAGTTGCTAAGTATTTTAGATGGGTCATATAGTTATATATTAATTACTTCGGTGCGTACTATTTATTTATGTTGGATTATTTCAATATAGTTAATCCTGCTTTCGATCGTTCATGCCGATCAAATTCCCTACGGGGCAGGATATTGCAGTCTTCCTTGTGAATAAGGCTAAGATTAAGGTTTTACTCTCCAACATAAGTTAAAGCTGGATGGGGTTTTTATGAAGGTATTCATATAGACAACGGGTAACTTAAGTTAATCCCTTCTTACATCCTGGGATGCAGCGGTGCGAGGGCTTCTCATGACACGTTCCCGTTGGATTACAGTTAGGATTAGGTGGGGTACCTAGGTATTATGTACTGTATTAATCCGGTTACCACTCTGTTCGGTGATGATACTTAGCACAAAAAACGTGGTGGTACTCGTGGTCCTACAAGTTTGTAAGTAACATGTGATACTATGTATTCTCCCACACACTTTCTTCCTCGTCACTACAATAACTTATCTAGAGTTTTAATTACGAAAGTAAATAATTAAGCTGCTTAGATTTCTCAGTTCGTGCGATTCATTTAGGGGGGAATTAAGTTAATCCTTCTCCAGTCCTCAGTAAATTAGGCGCGCGAGTTTTTCTTGTCACGTGCCAATAGGATTACAGTTAGGGTTAAGTCTTTCTTACCCTTTAAGAATTTAAGTCAAGCGGATTATCCTCATTTAATTCTTATCAATTCCCCCCACAGACTCAATATCTCCTTACCGCCGTATTTATCAACAGTTAATTTTCTCTGTTTCCTCGATGTGGGGTAGTCTCCATCCTGTTTTCATGTCCGGATTATTTTAATCTTTATTTGATGCCTCCCTTTAGGTAATTACAGTAGTCGCACGCATTCTCCCCTTCCTCCGGCATTATCGGCCAGTCAAGTATGGTATAACTTTATTATCGGTCGCTAGGTCTCACGTTAAAAATTTTTTTCCTGTTCTTCTTTAAGGTTTCTTTGAATTTGTTACTTGCACATCTATTATGCTACAACAATTTTTACCTGTCTTCATGGGGTACTTAGGTATTTTAGACTTTAATGTCTCGATTATACATCGTCGGTAACAGCTTGGGGCACATTAATATTTTAATGTTACTGATTATATCCGCAGTAGTTGAGGATGGTTGTATGGTGTTTGTTTTGCCTGGTCAGCTCAGACACTCAAGAGGTGGCACGGGCATGTTTTTCCCGACATACGTTTGTATCTAAGTCCTCATTTGCTTCTATCTCAAGAAATTCTATAAGTGAACTCGACAGCGGGCGACGTTACATTTCAACGCTTCATGTGTGCCATTGCAATTTAGCTTTAAGACTTATTGTTGGAATCTTTCACATTATGTTATTCTTTTCTCATTCTTATAATCTAATTATTCCTCCTAACAATTGTGATTCTTTCTGTATGGGGATGTTACTTAATCTTCTTCTCTAACCTCAATACAATTTAATTATTGTTGTTACTATTGAACTGGTTTCATGTCCACTTAGGTTTGTCGACAATCAAATTAACACTTTTCATTGGACCAAACTCTTCATCCTAAATTGGAAGAATTCTCAGTTGAAATTCATCTTCAGTTAGACAATGTTACATTAGCATTAATTATGTTGAACGATCTCGTTTATCTTTTGACGCCCGGCGGTGATGGTACATCATTGTTGGACATAAATTATTCTGATGGGGGCTGTAGCCTTGTAGTAGCTATGACGTTGCCTATTCACTTTGCCCCTGTTCCCTCTTTTTACACAGGAACGAGAATCCGGTCATCCCGCCGTCTTCATCGAAGAAGAGGACACGGGTGGCCTCTACGAGAGGACACCAACGTGGAGGAGCAAGGACGCAGCCAGCAAGGACGCGGGCAAAGCCAACTCGCTATGCCTCCCCCTCTTCGGGGACATCATCTGGGGACTCGGAGGTGGAGGATGAGCATGTCTCGAGGATCAGACCAGCTGAAATCGCTGGGGCCGGATCAGCGTCACTGCCCACACAAATTTCAGCAGAAGACTGGGCAACGCTATAGGCACTTATCACACAGGCACGGGATTCCTCTGCAGCCGCGAGCACACACGACGTAGGAAACGCGGGGGATGTCACTGCTGGGTAGCCCTCCCCTACAGTAGGACGCACGCGCCAAAGAGCCAAGGGCGGCCCGTCACGGCGACACGACAGTTCCACCAGCATGTCCACGGACGGTGAGTACCAATTAGAGAGCACATCCACGCCACTCATCACCTGGCAGGGGACACAGCAGGGCACATACATCCCACGTCTGGGCGAACACGTCCCTCAGTCCATCAGAGAGGTTTGGGCGGACAGGTACGTGGATTTCAGGGATCTTCTTGGATATGAACGGGATGCAGGGCGCCTTGAGACGCGACCTGCACCTGCCTCGGATTCGCAAGCATCCGCTAAAAAGCTCCCGCCTCTAACACCGGATCAGTGGGAGCATGCTTTTGACATATACGCAAAGATCTACCTAGAGAAGCACCCGGAGGCAGGGCAGGAGCTGTTCACATACGTTAGGTATGTAAAAACTATGAAAACGTCCCTCAGAGGTGACTGGATGTGGTACGATGAGGCGTTCAGGTGGGACAGGGAAAGGTCGGGCTGCCCATGGCGAGCTTACAGACTGGACCTGGAACTGCGGTCAGTCCAGCGCATCCAGCAGGAGGGTATTATGCGTCTGGTCTCGGGGCGAACGTCAGAAAATTTTCAAGCCAATGCACGAGGCGCGGCAGTTCCCCCGGGCTACTGCTACGCTTTCCACACAAGAGGTCCGGGCTGCCGACAACCCACTTGTGCGTTTAAACATTTTTGCCCACGATGTTACAAGCGACACCCCGCCTACAGTCCCTGCTCACAGGCGCGCACAGGACACGGGGAGGAGTGGCAACAACGTCGCCCCCCACAGGATAAGTATACAAGGAACACCGGAAATATGGACATCCGAGGACGTACCAACGCCGGTCAACGCAGACGCACTTGATGTTTTACTGGTGGGTTACCCATTACGGGAATACATAGTGAGGGGCTTCAAAAGGGGTTTCCTACTTGGCTTTGAAGGGACACGGACCCCTCTCTCTTCAAGCAACCCTTCGGACACGACGGACCGCCCACATATTGTGGGACCAATGCTAGACAGAGAATTGAGCCTGGGTCGAATAGCGGGTCCTTTCGAGGACCCACCGCTCCCGAACTTTAAGTGTTCCCCCATAGCTCTGAGAGAAAAATCCACGCCAGGTAAGTTCAGGCTCTTGCATAATCTTAGCTTCCCTTATTCACAACTAAGCGTGAATGCCAACATTCCTAAGGCGACTTCAACCGTGCACTACCAGAATATCAAAGATGCCATCGAGTTGGTCGTCAGGTGCTCGCCAGGGGCGTTCCTGGCAAAGTGTAACATTGCAGAAGCTTTTCGGATCGTACCGGTACACCCGAGCGATTATCATCTCCTTGGTTTTACTTACGGTGGGCGGTACTATTACGAGAAGATGCTCAGTATGGGAGCCGCCCCCTCCTGCAGGATCTTTGAGACGTTTTCAAGTGGTCTAAAATGGATCCTCGAGGAGAAGTTCAACGTGCGAGGTGTTGTGAAGGTACTTGACGATTTTCTCTTCGTCAGCAGTTCCTTTAACGGATGCCAGCGTGACCTGCGGGTGTTCACCGCTCTCTGCGAACGACTGGGGGTTCCCCTCGCGCCACACAAGACTGCGGGACCGTGCACTCGGCTTACGTTCTTAGGTTTGGAAATAGATGCATGTAGGATGGAAACCAGACTTCCAGAGGACAAGCGAACGAAGTACCAGGCAGAAGTAGAGACGGCACTGGGAAAGAAATCACTTTCCCTGCGAGACCTTCAGTCGATCGTAGGAAGGCTGCAATTCGCCACAGCGGTAATTCCGGGAGGACGAGCTTTCCTAAGACGACTGCACACGCTCACTCGAGGAGTACAGCGTCCCTCGCGTCTATGCTTACTGGACGCTGAGGCTCAGCTAGACCTTGTAGCCTGGCGCTCCTTCCTCAGCAATTTTAACGGTGTTACAGTATTTCCCCCGGATGGAGGATGGGGGTCTGCTGTGTCTCTATCGATGGGCGCGGACGCCTCTTCGAGAGGGTACGGGCTCACATTGGGGGCAGCATGGTTCCGGGGAACGTGGCCAGATTCCTGGCGACGGCTCAACATAGCCCTGCTGGAGCTTTATCCTTTCTACATGGGTATCGCCCTCTTCGCTCAGGTATTGTCCAACAAGAGGCTAGTCTGCAGGTCTGATAATAGCGCCGTGGTAAATGTGCTTTCTTCGCTGTCTGCCAAGTGCCCAATTCTTATGTAAATAGTCAGGCCTCTGGCCGTACTCCTGCTTACGCATAATATCACACTTCTCCCATCACACATTCCCGGCAAGCTTAATACAGTTTGTGATGCCCTTTCACGCTTACAGGTCCTGCCGCACAAGTTCCTCAGGGAAGCGGGCCTCGCAGAGAAACCGGCCGACGTTCCACAACACTTACTGCCCCGCAACTTTGCCCTGCAACTTTGAGGACCCTACTCAATTCTCTGCAACCTGCAACACGGAGTGCATATCAGGCAAAATGGGCGGAGTACGTGGCGTATGTTGCGGGGGAACGGCGGGGGATTCACCCTCTTGATGCCCCAACTTCAACACTTGCGAACTTCCTACAGTCTCTACTCACGCGGGGTTTGGTTTTCCGCTCGCTGAGCACTTACCTAGCGGCTATAGCCTTCGTCTTCAAACTGAATGGTCGGAAGGACCCCACACGTAAGTTTGTTGTCACTCAACTGCTAAAAGGGGCACGAAAAGCTGCGCGGCGATCAACGGTACGGCGTCTTCCTGTGACGAGGCGCCTACTACACCGTCTTCTGCGAGCTCTGGGAAAAGTATGTATCTTGGAGCACGATAAGAAATGCTACAGGGCAATTTTTTCCCTGGCTTTTCACGCATGCCTGCATCCTGGGGAAGTAGCCTACGCTGCGAACGGTCAACACACGCTCCGGCTGGAACAGGTAACACTTACAAGCACACGGCTCGAAATATTACTTGGTTCCTACAAACACAATGCGGGTCGCACGCCTACGCTGTCTTTGAATTTGAACCCCAATAACAGGTACTGCCTGGTCCGAGCCCTCTCAAAATACCTCGCCCTACGGGGTACGGCGCCAGGACCCATATTCCTCAATGCACACGGCGCCCCTGTGACGAGGCAAGACTTCTCTCGGACACTACGAGTCGCCCTAGCTGCTTTAGATCTCCCTCCCAATGACTACGCCCCACATTCTTTCCGGATTGGACGGGCCACGCAGCTGTCACTTGACGGGCATGTACAGGAAACGATTAAGGCCGTCGGATGGTGGAGGAGTGACGTTTTTCACTCATACGTCAGGCAAGATGTCATCACGCTTCCACATTGAAAACATTCCGCGGCCAGCGGGCACTCGCCCTTCGGGGGGGGGGGGGGTCCGGCCTGCTGGCTCTGCGGAGTGGGGGTGCAGCGCCGGCCCCTAAGTATTACGCTGTCCGCAGCTACTTACTCTGACTTGTAAGAGTAATGTTAAATTTGTCCTATAGGTGTATTCTACAGCTACTGGTAATTTACGATTTCACATTATGTCTGGGATTGGCACATTATTTCTGTCATGTGTTAGGCCACTATATGCTACTCTATAAGCCCTGATTCTACTTGAAAATTATGTTAAACGTTTGCCTTACTTGTACACATAGTTAATAAGGATTCGGCGTTCTGCAGACCATGTTTTATTTAGTTACCGGCTATAAGCATATGTATTAATGTTAATAAGTTGTTGTAGTGTAGTCAAGTTATACATGTATTTATGCTGTTGTAAATTATACAAGTTACCTGATTCATTAACATGGTCTGCAAAATTTATTTATTTGTTTCTACTAAAAAATTAAATAAATAGGTCCCCATGCTGTTGGTGTCTTATTCCTCCTAGATCAGAAAATACAGTTTTGATATTCCTAAAGTACGACTTAATCAAACTAGAAATGATCTACAAATCAAGGAACCCAGAATGTGGAATGACCTTCCCAACCATGTTTTAAAGACTGTACCTCTCTCAACCAGTTTAAGATAAAAACGAAGCTATACCTAATAAATTCCCTGTAACCTACCTTACCCTTCTATTGCCAACCAATGTCTGTTTTTTTTTAAATGGCGCTGTTTGTCGACAGAATTGTATTTGTGCTGCTTTTTCAGCCATGTTCCCCCCTTTTTTATCTCCTTTTTTATTTGTTCTCAACTCATTTTATTCTTTATGCTCAATTAGTATTAAGCTTTAGTCATTTAAGTTTTCATGCCCGAAACGCTTTGTGTAATAGTGGCTTTAGGCATTGTATGTACTAGCCCTATCTATTATTCCATCACTCTTTGTAAAATCTCTTGTATGTATGTACTTTACCTAAATAAACATTTGATTTGATTTTTTGAATTAAGATAGGGATAGATTAGTGTATAATATAGTGAGATGAGAGCAGAGTTAGGTACATAATATCTGATTTAGAGAGTATACCAACTGTTTTAGAGACCTTCTTAGTTATGTGTTGTATGTGGGTGCTGAAGTTGAGTCTCTTGTCTAGGAATAGGCCAAGAAACTTTCCATCATTTTTACTACTAATTTTAACATTGTCTATCTGAAGCTGAATTGCATTTGTTGATTTGCTTCCAAATAAGATGTAGTAGGTCTTTTCTATGTTAAGTGTTAGTTTGTTGGTTGACATTCATAAGTGGACTTTTTTTAGTGCATTATTAACAACATTATTTAGTGTATGTGGGTTGGGGTTAGAGTAGATGAGGGTAGTATCATCAGCAAACAATATAGGTTTCAGAATGTTAGTGACATTGGGCAGATCATTGATGTATAAAAGAAATAGGAGAGGTCCCAAAATGATGCCCTGTGGCACTCCAACGGTTATTGGCAGAGTGGGAGAGGTTATATCATTGATAGCTACACATTGGTGTCTATCACTAAGATAGGATTGGATATAGTCCAGAGCATGGCCTCGGATTTCGTAATAATGGAGTTTACGTAAGAGGTAGTTGTGTTTAACAGTATCAAAGGCTTTTCTCAGGTCATTGAAGAGTATTTATTGAATATTGAAGAGTATTTATTATTATATTGAAGAGTATAATAATAATAAAATAATGGCATAATAATAATATAGGATAAAAACCCACACTTGTGTATTTGTGAAATTTAACTAAGGAAATTAAATTTCACAAATACACTCGTGTGGATTTTTATCCTGTTATTATGTCTGAGATTTTTTTTAACAAGATTAGGTATACACAGCAATGTGCTGCTACCCGATTCTATATGAAAGACTACACAGTGTGGATACAAAAAACTAGCTATAAGTTCATCTAATATTCCCATCTAATAGGATGGTCATCTAATATTCCTATCTCACAGGATGGTTACGAGTTGGACTTGCATATAGGGAAACCCGTACGCCAGCAATGCTCAAGCTCTTTTAGAAAGCCCCAGCCAAGGCGAGGGAGCGCATGACAGAGCTCGGGCAAGATAACTGGGAAACTTTTGTTAACAGTCTCAACTCTTACACCGCCCTCAATCAGGCATGGAAGGATATTAAAAGAATTAAAGGCGATAAGATCGGCCAAGTAGCACACCCTCACCCTCTACGCAGAGCAAACGAGTTAGTCGATGCTTGGGCAACCACCTCTAGCTTCAATAATCTTCCCTCAGACATTCAGTTCAAATTAAAAGCTGGTTACGGAGATCGAGAAAGGCTTGTTGACTTTATGCTCCACAAGGAAGATGAATGCAACGTGCTATTTACAGAGTTTGAATTTGTAGCGAGTAAGCATTATACTCGCTCTATTATCTCGTCATCTTAATGGCGGAACTAATTAGCACTAATTGCAGAAGCTATAATCTCTTCCCTACGTTTGTTGTTATAGATTCAGCTACTCGGAAGTTCCAAGCAGAACAGGCTATGCATGGTGAGCCCGTAACTTACCTGGCACAGGAGCGGAGCAAGTAGCACGGGCTATGGTGAGCATGTAGTGGACTTACCTGGCACAGGAGCGGTGCTGTGTGTCTTATCTCTTCCCTAATTGCAGGTAACAGTTCTTCCATCGTCCTATCCTAGTGGAGAAAGGTTTAGTTTTTTTTTAGTTTAGTTCATTTATTATGCACCCCATACCCATCCCGTGGGCGGTAGTGGAAAGGGTTAAAGAGGCACATAATGGGGTCAGGGACTGAACCCCACAATTCATTTAGCTAAGCAAGTTACAATCTTGATGAGCTAGTTACAAAATTTAATATAAGTCGTCACATCAACAATGGGTTCGAGATCGACCTCAAGTACAGGTTCTAAATTAAGCAACTGACATATGTGGAGAGCTAGTGTCACAATTTATAAATAAATAAATAATAAATAAATGTTTATTTAGGTAAGGTACATACATACAAGAAATTTTTACAAAGATTGGTTGACTTATAGGTAGAGCTAGTACATACAATGCCTAAAGCCACTATTACGCAAAGCGTTTCGGGCATGAAAAACTTAAATGACAAGCTTAATACTAATTGAGCATAAAGAGTAGAATAAAAACAAGAAACAAAAACATAGCTGAAAAAGCAGCACAAATACAATTATGTCGACAAACAGTGCTCTTTAAAAAACAGACATTGGTTGACAATAGAAGGGTAAGGTAGGTTACAGGGAATTTATTAGGTATAGCTTCGTTTTTATCTTAAACTGGTTGAGAGAGGTACAGTCTTTAACATGGTTGGGAAGGTCATTCCACATTCTGGGCCCCTTGATTTGTAAAGCATTTCTAGTTTGATTAAGTCGTACTCTAGGAATATCAAAACTGAATTTATTTCTGGTGTAGTGCTCATGGGTTCTGTTACAACCTACTATGAAGCTTTTGAGGTCAGGATTGGCATTACAGTTTAGCGTTTTATATATGTATAATACACATGAGAGAATGTGCAGTGACTTAATGTCTAACATATTCAGAGATTTGAGTAGGGGTACCGAGTGATGTCTGGGGCCAGAGTTGGATATTGTCCTAATAGCAGCTTTGTGTTGAGTAATTAGAGGACTTAAGTGATTTTGGGTAGTAGAGCCCCAAGCACAAATACCATAGTTGAGATATGGACAGATAAGGGAGTAATAGAGAGTCACCAGGGCAGGGCGTGGTACATAATATCTGATCTTAGAAAGAATGCCCACAGTTTTTGAAACTTTTTTTGATATATTTAGAATGTGTCCCTGGAAATTCAGCTTGTGGTCAATGAGAATGCCAAGGAATTTGCCATCTAATTTGTTACAAATTTGGGTATTGTTTATTTTGAGATTTATTTGATTAGAGGATTTATTGCCAAACAGAATATAGAAAGTTTTGTCAATGTTAAGGGTGAGTTTGTTGGCAGTTAGCCAAAGATGGACTTTATTTAGCTCAGTATTTACTGTAGCATTTAGAGCAAGGGGGTCAGGACTGGAGTAAATGATGTTGTGTCGTCAGCAAATAG